ATCTATGTCACTTGTCACTATACACTAAGTACACTATATAACGTTACTGCAAGAATAGGGCAGAGAGGGCTTTGCTTTACTTCTATCTTTATTTCTGTTTGATGAACTAAATTTATTAGTGTTTGTTTTTCCATATCTACAACTGCTTACAGACAGAGGTTTAGTTACTACCCAACCAAATATAGAACTCATTCAATTTACAACAATTTGAAGTCCAGGAACAAGATGAAGAGGTGTTCATTAGTCATACAAATGAGCGTAGTATTGCTGTCCAATCTTCATGTAAGCCTCTTTTTCTGATGACGTCATCTGTGCGATGAGGTCGGGCCTCTCGCTAACCTGGTGATATGGGTACTCTTCTCCTCCCACCGTTACCATGGGAATGTCCTCCTCTTCATCATCATCATCCTGCATCTCTTCCACCTCCTGTGGGTTAGTACCAGACATGCCAGGCTGTGCCATCATTCCAAAGAAGTTGTTGGAGTCCTCGGTGTCGGACTTACTACTGTCACTGTCACTCTCGGCAACTCCCGCCGACGGGATGGCAGCGGAGACGGCCGAGCTGGCCCCCTTCTTCTCATGTGCCAGGAGGACTCGCATGATGTCGTTGTTGTCCTGTTGTGCACTGGGCCGGGACTCCATGATACCTGGTTCCTTCATGCTGTCTGATGACACAGACAATTCTTCCTCGTGTATGGTGCTGTCCCTCAGCCAGACTGGTCGCTCCTTCACTTCAGTGGGAGGTAAGGCTGCAGACGCAGTGTCCTTGTTCTCCATGTTAATGGTGACCTCTTGGTTCAGGTCCAATCCCAACCTCTGTGTGCCGTCAGCCCAGCCGCGGCTGCCTCCGGAATCGCCCGGCCTGCCTCCGCTCGAGACCACCCGATTGGGTATGAGACCGAGGACGAGGTCGGGATCCAAGACCTCCTGTGGCAGGCTCATGTCCTCCAGCTCCCGCAACAGCTGATAGATGGGTTCGATCTGTTGGTTAAAGCGCACCAACAGCGTACGCGAGTCCTTCTCCTGGTCTCTGCTCTGGTCTTCCTGTACCTCGGTGGTGCAGTATGTACAGTTGAATGTCCCAGTCAGCGGATCAAACAGCTGGTCCGTTTCTAAGTCTGTAAACGTCTTCTGACACATCGGACAAAGGAACGATGCTCGGTTCGTCGAGTCCCTCTCGTCCATTTCAATCTTCCTCCTCATGTGATCCAACTTGTACTTCACCACGTTGACCACCATCTTGTAGTTGACGGAGTAGTAATTGTGGCGAGTGGTATGCCCGTCCGAGTGGGTCTCCATTCGCATACGGGATTTGAGAAACTGGTCATTCTTAAGTTGGGTGATGATCATCCGCAGATGTTTCCGTTCAAACTTCAGTTTCTCTAGTAGGTCCTCTTCCTTGATATACCTGCCATTAACAAAAGGGATGGTTAGGTAAATAGTGAATGTCTCGTACCAAGGACATTATACACAGTGTATAATGTCCTACTGTGTATAATGTCCTTGCTCGTACATAATTTGTAGCTACAAGAACATAACGTTACTACATTCATGTGCAAAATACTAAAGGCAGGGGTCGAAATAGATTTTGGGGCCAACTTGCACTGGTGCAAATGAAAAGAAAAATACTTGCACCGGAAGAAAAATAGTTGCACCC